TCCCCCCCCCCCCAAACAAACACACAAGGTCAGGGCATCTGTAGGTTTCTCCAAACCCAGCATCACGGAGCCCTAAAGAGGATTAAAACTTCATTAGCAGTTTCGTGTATAGCTCGATTTGGAATCTTTTGTAGAGAACAGTTGAAGAATGCAGGTGAAAAACTGAAGTCACACTTTCTGTCTAAGAAGTGAGAGTTACGATCCAAAGACTTCCTGCTGTTTCTTTCATTCACGTCTAAAATTCTACTTGTATTTAAAATGTTTGTGTTCTACTCATTAAATATTCGTTTATTAGTTATTTTAGGCAGGACTCATCTATACAATCTAAAGACTTGCTGTATCTTTCACATCTAAAATTCTTTGAAATGTGCGTGTTCTACTCATGAAATATTTATTCACTGGTTATTTCAGGTAGCCTTCATCTTTCTATGTCATCTTTTTGTTACGCAGTCGGGATTTGATATAAAGGGCTATAAAAGTTTGGACGTCATCAGTCCCCCCCCCCCTTTTCCCCGTACTCTTCAGTTGAGAGTAATGGACACCTCACAGAACTTTATGACGACTCTGTCTACGTCACGGGTTTCTAAGTCGCGCCCCACAGGCCATGTGAGGTCTGCAGGGCGACATTTTGTGGCTCCTACTAATCTAGATATAAGTCTAAACAAATGGGTAACGTGGAAAGATCGGGGAAACATAGATCTAGCTTCTTTTTTTTTTTAGAGCATCCGAGCAAAGGAATGAATGGGGAACCATGATCGCCGATGTCTGTCGCAGATCCGGCACTTGATGAGGACTAGATATAAGATTGTAGTTTTAGTGTAGCCCAAGCTTGGTTAGATCTTATAGTTGACAGAACTTCATTGTCCCTCGCCTTCCCTGAGCTTTCCGGGATGCTCAAGCAGACCATGCACACTTTTAGTAGCACATAATATCTGTATGTGAAAGACCTTGGACTTTGAAAAGTTTGAGAATTGCCTTCCTTTCTATTGCTTCTCCCCCCCCCTCCTAAAAAGTATTGGTCAAAAGTGATGACCCGCCCCCCCCCCCCCCCCATTTAAAAAAAAGGATTAGTCGAAAGTGGTGCCCCCCCCCCCCTCCCCCCCCCCAAGCTCCCTCAAGGTCTTCTTATTCTACTTAACGTTTTAAAGTGAGTATCCCAGTTCACCCCCCCCCCACCCACCTCGGCACCACATCGGCTATAGATCAGCCGATAACTGGTTTGGGGTCCCACAACATTGATTTAGATAGGAAAGGCCTTGAATATCTTGAATACGGTGCTCAATAACGGGGTATTGATTCGTTTATCGGAGCCATAGGAGAAGGCTTTTGATTAAGCTTAAGACAGATTAGGAGACGGTTGTTGTATGGGGAGACACGGTTTTTGACTCACGATCGATAAGTCGAGCTGGTGCTAAAATACAAACAAAAAAATTTCATCTCTAGACGGAAAACATAATAAATTATATTTTGTGGATCATAATTATTTTTTTTTAATTTCATCTCTCTAAACCCAGACAAAGAAAAATTATGAGTAGAAAAGGGGTTAGAATATGTCTGAACAGGTCTCAGTTTTTGGGATGATGGAGCAAAATTATTTCTTGACGGCGTATCCAGTTCCGGCGTTGAGTGCCAAGGAAAAGCCGTTACAAGACATACGAGCGTGGTTTTAAAAAACCCCCCAAAATAACCCCTCTTTTTTAAAAGAAATGATTATTTATTACGGGTGAGTTTGCAATCAACAGAATTTTTCCAAATATGTCTTTCCAATCTCTTCCAAACTCCCAGCACTTCTTTCTTATTGTTTGGTGCTCCTACGTTAAGAGGCATTTGATTTGTAGACCAACATTTCTGATTGTTGGAGGCTTTTAACATTTCCTTTTGAAAAGAAGCTTGAGATTTTTTCTGCAATAATTTCTTCCACTCGTGTAAGTGCCAAAACTTTACAAATGAGCACTCCCAAAATTCCCTTTGTAGTTTGCCAGCGTTTTTTGTTACTAATAAATTCCGCGGAGAGAGAGACAGAGAGAGAGAGAGAGAGAGAGAGAGAGAGAGAGAGAGAGAGAGAGAGAGAGAGGGGGGGGGTGGAAGAAAGGGGGAAGAGGGAGAGAGAGAGAGAGAGAGAAAGAGAGAGAGAGAGAGAGAAAGAGAGAGAGAGAGAGGGAGAAAGGGGGAGAGAGAGACACAGAGAGAGAGAGAGAGAGAGAGAGAGAGAGAGAGAGAGAGAGAGGGAGAGAAAGAGAGAAATTGAGAGAGAGAGAAGGACAAGCATACGCCTAAACGTATTCGTGATAGGCGAGGTCGGAATCAAACAGTGGAGGGAAATAGACAAACAGACAGTTAAAGATACAACACAAACAAACCAACACCTTGTTAAACAGACAGACTGACACCGAGAAAGGACTTTGTCAGAAAAATGAAAGAGGCCTGACTGAGGCAATGCAGTTCTTGCATAATGGAGGCCAGTCGAGTGATGTTGGTTTCGGTTCTTGCTTTTGTGTTTTGGGGATGGAATTATTTGACAAGTGAGTAGTAATGGCCATCCATCGTGACTTGTCGGGGGTACAAAATCAATTATCCTACTTTTAATTCCTGAAACGCACGATTTTTTATTTAATTCTTTTCGGTAAGTGTTTAAGGGCGTACGCAACTGCATATTGCAATACATTAAACATTTTCTTAAAAATTTTGAATTTACCCAGGTGGTGGCTAAAGCCAAGTCTTTTCGATTTTGAACACTCAAGGGATCTTTAACGCGCACAACTTGCACGCTTGACCTCCGAGATTGTTCGCCCTGATCCGAGAAGTTAGGTGTTAGATCTTGCCTATCATATGAAGGAGCCAAGGAGTAGCAGTAGAAAGGCTGCAGAAAGAGTCAGGAGCCCAGAGGAGGGGGCAAAGGAGGTGAGGGGTGGGTACAGAAAGTGGAGACGAAAGAAGACGACAGAACATTGTTAGACAGCAGGATTGGAGATGACATTATATGAGAACATTTTGGAGAAGAAAATATTTCGTCGCTTTCCGGATTCGAACCCGGGACCTATTGAATGACAGGCGAACACCGTAACCTCTCGACCACGAACCCCCTGCGTGAAGTTTAAACGTGTGTTGACCTTGAGTGCGAGTGCACTCAAACTTAGGGCTATTACTTTTCATTTATTACTCTGTTCGGTTAATCAAATAGTCAGCACTGTCATACGATTAATGAGACTGCAGGTGCCAATAGATGACAGGAACACTTAGAACAATCGGAATCTACGCTCAGCCTGATTCAGGATAAAAATAGATATGTCGTCAGGATTTAAAAACCATTCTTTTTTGTCTTTTGCCTATTCATTCCCTTGTTTTCTTGTTGTTACAGCTGTAGCATTTTCTGCCGTTGTTGCTGGTGGTTGTGGTGGTATTGGTGATGATGCTGTAAAAATAAATCCTTCCTTGTTTTTACTCTTACTTTAATTTTATTGGGGGGGGGGGTATGCATCTTTTAGAAACACACGAGGATTGCAGCAAAGGAACGAAAACTCATTGTTCAAGCGATATACGATAGTAGTTTATCACCAAAGATCGTGTATAACAAGATAGTTAAATCCTCTTTTTGAGCCAATTAAAAAAGTGTCCTTAGAATTAGGTGGCGCCCTCTCCGAGAAAGCGCGAACTTTGCGAACAGAGTAACCTTACTTGTGAGGAAAAACAATAAAAGCGAAACTAACAAACTGTGAAGTTCCTATTCTTCTTCTGGAGAAACGAAAGAGAGCTTCAAAACAAAGACTGCTGCGCCATCTGAAGCAAGGAGCGGACATCCGCGGACACTTTTTTGTCTGAGCGAACTATCTTGTTGTGTACGATCTTTGTTATAAATTTGTTATAAATTCGTCGTTAAATATTTCAGATGCCTTCCATGTGCTCGCCTTTTTACTTATTTAATTAGTGAAGTACAACAGTCGAGCTTTTTCTAACAGCCACCGTGCAAGACAACCACCTGTACAAACGGCCACTTCTCATTTCCTTGCTCGCGTACTTTTAACATTAAACTGACACAGTGTAAGACGGTTACGTATAGACGGTCACATGGTACTAGGCGGCAGCTTTTCTCCTCGATAA